TGTATCTTGAAAATGAAAATAAAATAATGACAGGGGTGGCCCCAGCATGATAACCATGATAACCTAGTGGCTAAAGTCTTCACCTTGCATGTACTGGGATCCTATATGGGTGCTGGTTCATGTCCCAGCTGCTCCACTTCCCTTCCAGCTCCCTGCTTGTGACCTGGGAAAGCAGTAGAGGATGGCCCAAAGCCTTGGGACCCTGCACACACATGGGAGGCCTGGAAGAAGCTCCTGGCTCCTAACTTTGGATCAGCTCAGCTCTGGCTGTTGTGGCCACTTCGGGAGTGAATCAGTGGCTGGAAGATCTTTCTGTCTCTCCCTTTCTCTGTAGATCTGCCTTTCCAATTAAAATAAATAAATCTTTAAAAAGAAAATGATGACAGGAACTAGCACTGGTATAATAAATGTTTGTAAAAAGATGTATTTGTTTACTTGAAAGGAGAAACAGGAAGATACTCTCCAGCTGCTGCTTCATTCCCCAAAAAGGCCACAGCACCCCAGGCTGGGCCATGTTGAGGCCAGCAGCCTGGAATTCCTTCCAGATCTCCCCTGGTGGGCAGCAGGGGCCAACCACCTGGGCCATCTTCCTCTGCTGTCTCAGGCACATTAGTGGGAACCTGAATCAGAAGTGGAACAGCCAAGCAGACACCCGTGAGAAATGCCAGCATCACACGTGGTAGCTTAACCCACTGCACCACAGTGCTGAACCCTAGAACCGTGTTAACGAGAAAGCAGGGACAAAGTGCCATGACTGTAGTGTTGGCTGTGTGGTTGATGCAAAACAAGGAGTTCCTGGAGAAACGTCGAGGTTTCCAGTGTTTGTGCACACATGTGTATGTGTGTGTATACACATGTGGGCATACTGCCTGCAGGGGAGCGAGTCCCGTTCTGAGGGCACTCCATGCACTGTGACCTGCAGGCTAGCGGCTCCGCACCTGGCAGGAGACCCGAGGGGCGTGACCCGGGACATCCTTTACTGCCTGGTCTTCGGGGGGCTCTCTGACTCCTGTGGGGCTCACACAAGAACAACTACTGTGAAAACTCTGGATAAGAAAGCATGGCAGGCTGGCACAGCGTTTGCTTGAGGGAGGCAAAGCCAGAGTACAGCACTGCCATCCCCAGTCCTGGCGTCGGATCTGTGGTCTTTGTCCCGACGTTGGGAGACTCGTTAAAATAGTCCCATTGTTCTGGTGTCTGACGGCTGCTGTACCTTCCTGGGGTGGACAGCTGACCAAATTGGAACACCTTGAGGAGTCAGGAGGGCACAGGCTGCACCGGCTTCCCTAGAGCTGGGCTAGCGCCTGGTGAGAGCCGACTGAGGCGCATGTTTGTGCCTGGCCAGGCCAGCGCTGCCCGGGAGGACTGTGTGTGAGATGTGCTAGCCCAGCAGTAACTCACAAATGCGGAAAACTCTTATTTACACAGAGCTGGGGCAGCATGTCACCAGCCTTTTAATTTTATTTATTATTTGAAAAGGTGAATTACAAACAGAGAGAGAAGCTCTGTCCACTGGTTCACTCTCCAAATGGCCACAACAGTCACTTCTGACCCAGGCTGAGGTCAAAGACCCCAGACTGCATCCAGGTCTCCCACACCGATAGCAGGGGGCACGAGCACTGCTTTCCCAGGCGTGTTAGCAGGCAGCTGAATTGGAAGTGGAACAGCCAGGGTTTGAACCGGGGCTGCTAGAGGATGCTGGTATTGTCACAGGTTGATGGCTTTTACTGGCTGCGCCAGCCCCTACCTCTGGTCTCTCGAGGCTGGGTGTGCAGCATCAGGCTGCGTGATGGTGCGTCTGACCCCCTTGACTCCCCGCCCCGGTTAGGCGGTGCCTGGAACTCAGCCTCGCCCGGTGCCCCATCTTTTCCTAGAGGCCCATCTCCACTAGGTGCCGTCCCAGCGGGCAGCTGGACAGAGCCTGCCAAGCTGGGGTTTGTCCGCCATCTCGGAACCCAGCCCCAGTCAGATCCTGCCGTGGCCTGCCTCAGAACATGCTGGGCATACCTGGCCGTCACAGCCAAGGCCAGGCCCTGCCAGGGCAACCTTCCTTCCAGGTTCCACTGACAAACATCTCCATAACAAAAGGGCTTTGTCCTGACTTACTGACATGTAGGCACGCCCCCCTCTGTGACTCCAGGGCCCAGGTCTGTCATGTCTGTGGGGTGCACCTCTCTGGTTGGTGGGCGGAGGGAAGGGAGAGGGGTCAGGTGGGTTTCTCTGTGTGTGGTCCCAGTGAGACAGCGTGTGCCACGGACTGACCGGGACTCTTATCCGTCAGTCCAGGCGGAGCCTGTGGACAAGCTTGGACTTCAGGTTGATGATTGAGGATGTGGAACCTGAGTAAATTCTGATGCATTTATAACTTTATTATTGCTTATTTTGTGTCGTGGAGGGAAAAAAGGAAGATTGGCCACAAGGTCTGTCTTATTTAAGATGCACAGGAACAGGGTCCTAAGCCCCGACCGAGCTGTGGAGTATGGCACTGAGGTGATGTGTCATGTAGAGAAAGGCAGGTTCTGGGCATTAGAGGGTGCCTAGCCGAGTCCCTTCTTCCTGGCCGGCTGGTCAGGAGGAAGAGGCCCAGGGCCCTGCCCTTGACCCTGCGTTACGTCCCTGGCCAGGCTGAGACTGCGATCCCGTCCGTTCGGGTTGCGTGCTCACAGATACGCGCTCTCATCACGTGATTCTTACCTCTCCCCTCATCAGGAGGAGGTGCTCGCGTTTGCGGAGCACCCACAATGTAATAAGTGCTTAGAAAAACGCCCTACACCGTGAGAACCAGTGGTCAGCAGGTGCGCTGCACCAACAGCTCTGGCCCCAGAAGGTGAACAGCTGGTTCAAGGCTGAGTGATTAGCAGTGGAGCCTGGTGTGGGGGTGTGAGGCCTCCATGACCTGGGGGCACTCGGCCTTGCCAGGGTTGTGGGCGGTAGTGAGGGCTGTGGTGACCGTGGATCGCTGCCAGGCTCCTCACTCGCTCTACAGTGCACCGACACGCCCAGCCTTCTGTGCCGTGCCTGGCCCGCCTTCCCGCTGCCTCCCTGGGACTGACTGCTGGCTGGGCATGGGAGGTCCAGATAGGAGTGGGGACCCCCTACCCACTTCCTTCTCACGAAGCCATGTCACCCAGTTCCACTCCCCGTGCCATCTAATGTAGATTTCACCACTTTCCTGTCTTGCACCAGGGTTGTTTAAGTACTTCCCAAAAATAATGAGCCACGTGTGGGTGTGTTCCTTACCCAGAATGAATCACTGTGAAAGGGGCCGTGAACCAGCACAAGCACAGTAGCTCACCGGGAGCCCCGTGCTGCCTCCTCTAACTGCTGGGCTCCCGCCAGCGTCCTGCTTCCGAAAGGCCTTCCAGATCTCGAGGTGCTCACAGGGGTCCCCTCCATCGTGGGTCCATCGTCCCCCTCCAGCTTCACCTCACAGAGCTCATGCAATCCGCAGGCAACCCTGGGGCACACCCCGCATGGAGCCTGTGCGCACATGTTCTGAGCGTCAGGAAGTGAAGGGGGAGCAGTCAGGGCAGTGAGAGAAGAAACAGGTTGAGGTGTCTGCAGGAGGAATGCGGAGGGTCCCGGAGCCGGCTCACCCCACCGGGGCTGGGACTGACGCTGAGGAGGAATTTACTTCCCATCTCTCCCTTTGATGACTTGGATCCTTGTCTAATGAGCACCTGCCGTAAACTTCCTGCCTTTAAGAGATCACCTGCCTGGGCCCTTCAGCAGGTAGCTGCATGTTCTGGAATTCCTCCCAGACACAACAGGTCCTCCCGAGAAGCTGTGAGCTGCTGCCACCGCCAGGGCTGCCTCTCCCTGTCTCCCCAGGTGGGAACAGCGAGGGCGTCTGTGGGCACTAGAGAGCCCAAGGGAGGAGGGCCTGATGTCGGGATGCTCAGCAGCTGCCTTTGGGAGTCGACAGCCGACAGCCAGGAAGTATGGGAGAGAGACAGGGAGACTGTGCAGCCTGCGCCGCAGGGGCTGGTCCTCAGGGTTGGTCCCCTTGCCCGGAGCTGTGGCAAAGTCGCACTCCCGCTGCTATTCGCAGAGCCCCGTCCATGCCCGCCCACCTCCATGCCCTGGCGGTGAGTGCTTCATTCAGCACTGCCGGCCCAGCCTCAGCGTTCCAGTGGCCAACGCCACATTCCTGCCCCTCCCGAGAGGTCAGGGCTAGGTTAGGCTCATGGGAGACAGCGCCACGGAGAAGCAACTGTTGCCGTCTGGGCTATTCTTGTTAGTCAGATAAATAGAGGATTGCAGGCCAGGGCTGCTGAACTGGCTTCAGAGGCGCCAAATTAATTTACAGTCATTTCCTGTCAGTGGTACACACTTCGGCATGATGCATACCCAGGCAAGCCCATTTCTTGCGGAGGTATGAGAAGTGTGTAGTGGTGGTGGTGGTAGTGGTGTGTGTGTGTGTGTGTGTGTGTGTGTGTGTGTGTGTGTGTGTATACGTATGTTGCCATGTACCACTTAGGCTAGTGGAGCCTTTCCTGTGCACCGTCTCCTCCCGTCCTCCGAGGCTTGGTGAGGTTGTCATCGCAGCAGCCAGGATCACCTGCCACCAAGTAAAGGGAGAAGGGCAAAAGAGCTGAGCAGTGAGGGGAAGCTTGGCCCAGGAAGTGACGTGTGAGCCGCGTTTGGAAGGATGTGTAAGAACGCAGCAGGAGAGAATGTGGGAATGCTCACGGGCTGCGTCTGGAACCATGCCGCCTGGGGAGGGCCTTGGTGGCCATGCCATCTCCCAGGAGCCCACCCGTAGTCCTGTGTCTTCTCGTGGCACGTGTATGTGGAGGGTGTCCCGCCCCCGCAGGGCCCAGATGCATCTTCAGCAGACATCTCTGTAAAAGGGAGTATGAGCTTAGCAAACAGGTGGAAGGTTGTGCCCAGCCCATCTCTCACGCAGGCTCCTTGTGTGGTGAGTGTGGACAAGGAGTCAGGTGAGACCTCACCAAGCTGTGGCGGTCTCTCCCCTGACCCCTTGCCATCTCCTGCAGCTCTGCTGTGTGCATGCACCAGCTGCCTCCAGGCCAACTACACGTGTGAGACTGATGGGGCCTGCATGGTCTCCATTTTCAACCTGGACGGGATGGAGCACCACGTGCGCACGTGCATCCCCAAGGTAGAGCTGGTGCCGGCTGGGAAGCCCTTCTACTGCCTGAGCTCCGAAGACCTGCGCAACACCCACTGCTGTTACACAGACCTCTGCAACAGGATCGACCTGCGTGTGCCCAGCGGTGAGTGCCCCAGGCGGACAGGACAGCCACAGGCAATGGTGACAGGTACCAGCGCCAGGTGGGGGTCTCCATGGAAGATGTAGGATGGATAAAGGAAGTGTGGGGACAGGGCGTCAGATGCGATGTGGGCCTAGGACTGGAGGCCATGGCCCTGCGGGGAGGGGAGGCGGGAGAGATACTGACTGCAGAAGGCTGGGTGGGAGGCATGTGCCCATGGGGGCTGGCCTGGTAGTAGGACCCAGACACAGGTGCACACACAGAGTGGGTCGAAGGTTGCGTTCACAACCAGTGAGCCCCGGCCAACCAGAGACCAAAGGACCTGGGCGCCCTGAGCACCAAGAGATCCTTGTGACTTGGGGACAAGTGTGGGGAGGCCAAAGGAAGCCACTGCAACCTGTGTCAGCGTGGTCTTCCCTCTTTCCCTCTCCCTGGACACAGGCCATCTCAAGGAGCCCGAGCACCATTCCATGTGGGGCCCCGTGGAGCTGCTGGGCATCATCGCGGGCCCTGTGTTCCTCCTCTTCCTCATCATCATCGTGGTCTTCCTGGTCATCAACCACCACCAGCGAGTCTACCACAACCGTCAGAGGCTAGACATGGAGGACCCCTCCTGCGAGATGTGTCTCTCCAAGGACAAAACACTGCAGGACCTCGTCTATGACCTCTCCACCTCAGGCTCGGGCTCAGGTACCGCAGGGGCACCTGGCCGCATGGTGTGTTCCGTGGGCTCTGGACAGGCGGCCCAGGGGCCCGGGCAGTGAGTCATCCTGCTTGGCAGCTCCCTGCTTGGGAGTCTGACACGTAGTTAAGATAAGATAAGGGGTTCATAGGCAAGTCCTGATCCCTAGGTCAAGTGCACACTGTCCACTGCAGAAACCTCCCAGCGGGCAAAGGGCCCTCAAGCAGAGCAGGAGGTGGAACTGGCTGGCTGGCAGGAGTCCTGGGAGGCAGCCCGACTAATCATTGATCAGGAGCCCCCGCAGGGCAGTCTGAGGACACGAGCAGCAGGCTCTCCTGGCTGCTCTGGTGAATCATTGATTCTGCTGGTTGCCCAAGGGCTTGGGGGCAGGGGCCCGCTTGGAGGTGCTGCCAGGTGCCCGCCCACCCTGTGGTGCACCACCTGGTGGTAGGGACCTGGGCTGTTTACCCTCTATGGTTCTTTACCCTCTATGATTTATTTATTTATTTATTTATTTTTGTTGGAAAGGCAGATTTGCAGAGAGAAGGAGAAACAGAGAAAGGTCTTTCATCCACTGGTTCACTCCCCAAAAGGCCACAGTGGCCAGATCTGAGCTGATCCAAAGCCGGAGCCAGAAGCCAGGAGCTTCTTTCAGGTCTCCCATGTGGGTGCAGGGTCCCAAGGTTTTGCGTCATCCTTTGCTGCTTTCCCAGGTCACAAGCAGGGAGCTGGAAGGAAGGTAGAACAGCTGGGACACATATCCAGTATGGATGCCAAAGCTTGCGTCGCCTAAACCAGTTGAGACATTACACCGGCTCTTTTTTTTTTAAAGATAGATTGATGTGTCTAGCTATCTAGAAGGCAGCGTTTTAGAAGAGAAAAGAGAGAGGGCGCTCTTCCATCCACTGGCTCACTCCCCAAATGATCATAACCACCAGATGTGGGCCAGTCAAAAGCCAGAAGCTTCTTCCTGTCTCCTGCAGGTGGAGGGTCCCAAGGCTTTGGTCCATTCTCCACTGCAGGGAACAGGATGGGAAGTGGAGAAGCCAAGGATACAGGTGACACAGGCAGAGGCTCGGCATGCTATGCCACAGTGCCAACCACAGCCCGTCTTTGATGAGGGAATGGAACAGGAGGGGACCCAGGGGACAGGACCCACGGAAAGGGAATGAAGGTGCTTTGATCTCAGGGTATACCGGGCCTTCTTAGACGAGAACGTGGCCTCTGAGGGGTGTTTTGGGGACTTGAGCTGTGGGGGTCAGCCCCAGGGGCTGCTGGTGCCATCCTGACTGGAGCAGGCAGGGTCTTGCTTGGCATGTCTCCATGTCCTTGCCCTGCAGGGAGGTGATGCCGCCAGGCTGGGCCCATGCTCCCCCCTGCTCTCGGGCCGGCCTCGAGAGCCGTGCCCATCCCGCACCAGTCATTAAGCTCCACAGTAGAGAGCACGGAAGAAATGGAGATATTTAAAAGCTGCGTATTTTTAGAAACAGGGAAATGATATGGCTGGTTCTTCGCTGATACTTGGGGCAGTGGTGAGAACCGCCTGCTTGGCTTCTGGGACCTGACTTGCTGCAAGGTGGAGGGGTTGCTGGGTCACATGGCTGGGGGGCTTTTCAGGGCTTGTTGTCTGGAATACAGGTGGCTGATAACCTGGATCACTGGATACGGTAGTCCTGTTTCCCGGCTCAGCACGCCCAGAGCCTCTGCTAGGCTGCATTTCTGGGGCAGCCAGCCTGGGCTGCTTGGTGGCACATCCTGTCCCCTCTCCTCCAGCCGCCATGTGGGCCATTCTCAGCCAGCCCGGTCTGAAAGGGCTGTGACTGTGAGGGGCAGTGACTGCTGGGAAGTCTCCCCGTGGATGCGTTTAAAGGTCATGACTGCGAGAGAGATCGCACCAGACAAATCCAGGGGTGTATTCAAGAGTCTTTTTAAACCAAGTTTGGCAATAGCAGGGCCCACTAGAAATTAGCCAATGAAGTCACCATGACAATCCATTCTGCATCCTGAATGATTCCTCAGAGGAACAAATGATCATTACCGTGAAACCTGTCCATTAAAGTGAAGACTTGTGTCCCAACTTTCACAGCAACATAAGCTATCCCAAGAGATGTGGAGTGAACAGCCTGGCTTCTCTGCCCATAGTCCCTCACTGCCAGGCCTCACCTCTCCTGGAACTCCCAAAGTACACAAGTCAAAAATACAAAGCATCTTCACATTTGCAGTGACCAGAGGATGAGGGATACAGATATACAGGGCCCATGTTCAGGGGCTGTTGGTCCTTGGAGTTTGTCTGCGGGGAGCCAGGGAGCAAGCAGGTACTGGGGAGGCCCAGGGCCCGAAAAGCACACAGCCAAGAGCAAGCCCATCCCTATCTTGAGAGAGGAGTGGTTCCCCAATGCAGTGCCACCCCCTCTCGGGTTCCAGGGGCTGAGAGGTGAGCATGACTTAACTCAGCCGAGCAGAAAGGACCACTTAGTTGGGGGAGGTGTGGCTTCCAAACTTGTGACCCTGAACTAGCTGTCCACAACCACAACAGTGACGAGCAAGGGGGCCTTTGAGGGGAGGTAGGAAGACGGAACACTCCAGGTCAAGGAAAGCCACCTGAGTATAGGACAGAAGGGCAGGCAGGAGCAAGGTTTGTTTAAGGAACTTGGAATGAGGAGGTGGCTGGCACTGCTGCAGGGGGCAGGGAAGGACCCGAGGCAGAAATTGACAGGCTGCATGGGCCAGGGCCCCACATCCTGCTGGGAAGGCTGGGTTGTATGTAGTCCTATGGCCTGGAGCAGGGGCTCTGGGGGACAGAAGGGTCGGAGTGGGACAGGAGCGGGGGAGGGAGGGTGGGAGAGGCGAGGCGGGATGGGGCTGTGGGGATGGGAGAGGCGAGGTGGGACAGGGAGCTGGGGATGGGAGAGGCGAGGTGGGACAGGAGCGCTGGGGATGGGAGAGGCGAGGCGGGATGGGGCGTTGAGGATGGGAGAGGGGAGGTGGGACAGGGCGCTGAGGATGGGAGAGGTGAGGTGGGAGGTGGGACAGGGTGCTGGGGATGGGAGAGGTGAGGTGGGAGGTGGGATAGGGTGCTGGGGATGGGAGAGGTGAGGTGGGAGGTGGGACAGGGTGCTGGGGATGGGAGAGGTGAGGTGGGAGGTGGGACAGGGCGCTGAGGATGGGAGAGGGGAGGTGGGACAGGGCGCTGAGGATGGGAGAGGTGAGGTGGGAGGTGGGACAGGGTGCTGGGGATGGGAGAGGCGAGGTGGGATGGGGCGTTGAGGATGGGAGAGGTGAGGTGGGAGGTGGGACAGGGTGCTGGGGATGGGAGAGGTGAGGTGGGAGGTGGGATAGGGTGCTGGGGATGGGAGAGGTGAGGTGGGAGGTGGGACAGGGTGCTGGGGATGGGAGAGGTGAGGTGGGAGGTGGGACAGGGCGCTGAGGATGGGAGAGGAGGTGGGACAGGGTGCTGGGGATGGGAGAGGTGAGGTGGGAGGTGGGACAGGGCGCTGAGGATGGGAGAGGAGGTGGGACAGGGTGCTGGGGATGGGAGAGGTGAGGGGGGAGGTGGGACAGGGCGCTGGGGATGGGAGAGGTGAGGTGGGACAGGGTGCTGGGGATGGGAGAGGCGAGGTGGGATGGGGTGCTGGGGATGGAGAGGGAGGTGGGAGTGGACAGGGGCTGGGATGGGAGGTGAGGTGAGGCTGGGATGGGAGAGGTGGTGGAGGTGGACAGGCTGAGGATGGGGAGGTGGGACAGGGCTGGCTGGGAGGAGATGGGAGAGGTGAGGTGGGAGGTGGGATAGGGTGCTGGGATGGGAGAGGTGGGAGGTGGACAGGGTGCTGAGGATGGGAGGTGAGGTGGGAGGGTGTGAGGTGGGAGGTGGGACAGGGTGCTGGGGATGGGAGAGGTGAGGTGGGAGGTGGGACAGGGTGCTGGGGATGGGAGAGGTGAGGTATAGTTGGAGAAGCGCCTGGTGGGTCCCTGCTGTGCTGGTCAGAGTGTTCAATGAGGCGCCCATTGTGGCACCACAGCTTGAACTGCTGCTCGGACACCCGGCTCCCACAGCCAAGGGTCGCCTTCGGCTCCTGCCTGCACCTCCATTCCAGTCCACCTTCCTGCCAACCTGCCTGGGAAGGCAGTGGACGGTGGCCCAAGTGCTGAGTCTCTGGCAGCCTCATGGGAAACACGGGTGGAGTTCCTGGCTCCTGGCATCTGGCTGCTCTAGCCTCACTTGCTGCAGGCATCTGGGGGGTAAACCAGCAGATAGAAAAGCCTCTGTCTCCTGCTCTCTTTCTGCCATTTAAAGAAATAAGAGTGAATGAATAAACATTTTATTTTTAAATATTTATTTTTCTTGGAAAGACAGATTTACAGAGAGGAGAGATAGAGAAAGATCCTCCCTCTGCTACTTCACTCCCCAAATGACTGCCACAGCAGGAGCTGAGCTGATCCAAAGCCAGGAGCCAGGAGCTTCTTCTGGGTCCCCCCTGTGGGTGCAGGTCCCAAGGCCCTGGGCTATCCTTTTCTGCTTTCCCAGGCCACAAGCAGGGAGCAGGATGAGAAGTGGAGCAGGTGGGACATGACTAGTTTCCATATGGGATCCTGACACTTTGCAAGGAGAGGACTAGCCACTTGAGCCGCTGCATCAGCCCTACATGTTCTTGTTTTGTTTTTTAAAGGATTAGATGATTAGTGTTGGTATAGCAGGTTAGGCCACTGCCTGAAATGCTGGCACAAGAACACTGGTTCGAGTCCCAACTGCTCTGCTTCTGATCCAATTCCATGTCATGGTGCCTGGCAAAGCAGCAGCAGATGGCCCACGTGCTTAGGACCCCTACTACCCACGTGGGCCACCCACACGGAGTTCCTCACTCCTGACACTGGCCGGGCCAAGCCCCACACCTTGTGGTTGTTGGAGGAGTAAATCCCAAGGTGGAAGATACCTTTCTTTCTCTCTGTGTAATTCTGCCTTTTAAATAACTCTGTGTGTGTTTATGAAAGCGTGGCGTGTGGAGTCCTGTCCTGCTGCTTCCTGCCTCCTGGGGCGTGGGTGAGCTGCACAGCTGCCCCCTTGCAGCCTGAGGTTTCTCTGTAAAATGGGGATGGCAGTGCTTGCCTGCACATGTGAGAAGGTGGGGTGATTGGGTAGAGCCAGGGGTACGGTCAGCACAACAGTGAACGGAGGCCCACGGCAGCACACTTGGGGTTCTGATCCGGCGGGGAGTGGGGCTGAGTGGGGCTGAGATGAAGGGGGACTGGTCGGAGAGTACGGAGAGTACGCCTGTGCCTGCCCCAGAGGCTGCACAGCACCGCCCCCTGGTGGCCCGTGGGTGGCTGTCATCCTCTCCGCCCTCTTCCCTGTCCCTGTGGCTGCAGCACCAGCAGCCAAAGCCATCATGGCAAAATCCTGACTTGCTGGGGGGACACGTGACTTAGGCCAGCGGCTGCGAGTGGATCGCCACACCTGGCACATGTGTAATGCTTCGTCTCTCTCTCTCTCTGCCTTCTCTGGTCCACAGGGTTACCCCTTTTTGTCCAGCGCACAGTGGCTCGAACCATTGTCTTGCAGGAGATTATCGGCAAGGGCCGTTTTGGGGAAGTGTGGCGCGGCCGCTGGCGGGGCGGCGACGTGGCCGTGAAGATCTTCTCTTCCCGTGAGGAGCGCTCGTGGTTCCGGGAGGCAGAGATCTACCAAACGGTCATGCTGCGCCACGAGAACATCCTGGGCTTCATCGCCGCCGACAACAAGGGTGAGGCTGGCCGCCAGAGCGTCAGCGCGGGGCCGGGGCCCTCCCGGCAGCCCGGCTCGTCAGGACCAAAGGGCAGTTAGTTACTAACCAGCTCGCCTGACCTGCTCCCCTCCTCCTCCTCCGAAGTCAGAGCCAGAGCCAGTGAGCATCTCTCTGCTGGTTCACTCTCAGGGCCCAGGGCCAGGCCAGCCGGAAACCAGAAGGAGCTTCTTCCAGGTCTCCCCCAGGAGTGTGGGGTCCCAAGCACCGGGGTCCCTCCTCCTCTGCTTTCCCAGGCGTGTTAACAGGGAGAGGGCTGGGGAGTGGAGCAGCCAGGATTCCCCACTTGCATTGTCGTACGGGACACCTGCCTCCCAGGCGGTGGCTCAGCCACTCCGCTGTGACGCCAGCCTGTTTCTCTCCCTTGACCCACTTCCCAGCCCTATCTCCAGCGTGCTCCGTGCAGGGGCCCCAGGAAGTTTACTTTAGAAATTGTCACAGGGAGGAACTGTGGCCCCACCCCTGCTGAGAAGGGTCACAGCAGAGAGCCACATGATGCCTGCCCTGTGACGGAACCCGCGGCCAGGACACTTCCCTAGTGCTGCACACAGCAGGAGGAAGCCGCATCAGTCCCTGGCTGTCGCCTGTGTTCGCTTTTGAGGGTCTGGCATGCACCCAGGCACTGCCCTGGGTCTGAGGGCCTTGCTGGGTGGCAGGGGCCGAACCCAGGCCGAGTCAGACTGATTGGCAGAGGTGGCGGGAGCAGCTCAGGAAGGAAGGAAGGGTGGCGGGGCATTGCCAGAGCTCACAGGTGACGCTTGGGGCTCCAGGAGGACTGGGGGCAGCTGCAGCCCTGCCAAGGAGAGCTAGCCAGGTGGGGCCTTGTGTAGAGGTTGGCTATTCAGGTTTAATTCATGACTCCAGCAGTGTTCACTGACTGCAGGGGTGTCGGGCACTCTGCCAGCTGCTCAGGTCACAACACACACGAACAAGATACGGTCCACGGTCCCTGCCCTTGCCGGGGGCCCCAGGACCCGAGCAAGCCATGTGTGCAGCTGGAGGAATCAGCCTGTGCAGTACAGCCAGGGCCCGAGGGGGGCGGGGTCCGACCCCTTGACACACTCTCCTGGCCATTTCCAGCCCCGTTTGTGACCCAGCACAGCCAGACTAAGATGCTAGCTCCCAGCGTTTCTTTTCTCCCCTGGGCCACCTGGCTGCCCACGTCTCTGGGCAGTTAGCTCGGGGAATACAGCAGGGCAGGGCTTTCCCTGTTTGTTCTTTTTGTTTTGGGACGGGGTGGCCTGCAGCATGCTGTGCCAGCCTCCGGGACCTCTGAGGGCGTCGGGCCAGCAAGGGTGGCTCAGCCCTGCACACCTGGGCCTCGGGCTGTGTTGGGGAGCAGAGGCCGTCAGGCACAGGTCAGGACTCCTCGCGCCTCAGATGTGGCCTAGCCATGAGTATGTCCCCTCCTGCCCACCCGAGACCAGCAGCAGCCTGTGAGGGTGACATGGGCACGTGGGCATCAGGGGGTGTGCAGAGGAGCTGGGTGTGCGGATATCTGGCCTTGGTCCAGAACGAGCCCTTCACTGTGCCATGAGCCTCTGTGACGCACGCGTGTCCTCTGCAGACAACGGCACGTGGACGCAGCTGTGGCTGGTTTCTGACTATCACGAGCACGGCTCGCTGTTTGATTACCTGAACCGCTACACGGTGACCATCGAGGGGATGATCAAGCTGGCCCTGTCCGCCGCCAGCGGGCTGGCACACCTGCACATGGAGATCGTGGGGACCCAAGGTGAGAACACGCAGCCAGGACGTGGCACCTTTAGGTGTCTGTCTCACACCCCCTTCCCCAGCGAGGGCACATGGAGAGAAGGGAACCGAAGGGTAAAGCCATGTAGTTGGACCCCCGTGGTGCTGTGCACCCCATTGCGTGGTTGATGATGCCAGCTACAAGGGCCTTCCCGACCTGCAAGCCTTCAGGTCCTGTCTCGCCTTGTGACTCCTGCAGGATTGGCCGGTGGGCGGGGGGTCCTGATCTCGTCAGAGAGAAGGGGGCAGGCCAAGGGCACCCCTGGTGGGGACCTGGTTGACCAACGTGACTGCTTCTGCCAGCGATGATGGGGAGCCAGGCCCAGAAACTGGGTCCAGTTGCTAGCCCGTGCGTGATGACAGCATCCTCACCTCCTGGGAACAAGCCTGCGCCACAGCTCCCCTCCTCCAGGAAGGAGGCTGGCAGTAGTGGCGGGTCCTAACAGCCACACTCGCGTCCTGAGGCCGTGACCTCCCCACTGAATGGGTGGCTCCTCATTGCATCCCTGTCCTTCTGAGCTCACGGCCAGGCCCAGGCACCAGTGGGTGACCAGGCCACGACTCGAAGCTGCGTGGGGTCTGCCGTCTGTCTTGATCGATCCTCGCCTTTGTTCTCTCGCCAGGGAAGCCTGGGATTGCCCATCGAGACCTAAAGTCAAAGAATATCCTGGTCAAGAAGAACGGCATGTGCGCCATCGCAGACCTGGGCCTGGCCGTGCGCCACGATGCAGTCACCGACACCATTGACATCGCCCCCAACCAGAGGGTGGGGACCAAGCGGTAGGAGGCCCAAGGGACCCACCGCATGGCTGTTGGGGTGGGGATGGGCAGATCTGAGGGTGGAGAGCCTGCAGCCGGATGTGGAGGTGGGGCAGGCTCCGCCAGGCTTGGCCAGGGGCCTCCGAGGACTCGGAGAGCAGGTTTGCCAAGCTAGAGCAGAGCCTAGGATGGAAGCACAGCACGTTCAGAGACGTAAAAAGCAAGGAGCTGCAGAAGGGACTGGGATGGCTTTGGAGAAGCAGGGTAGTTGATGCATCCCCCACATGCCCCAAACAACCAGCGCCAGGCCAGGCTGCAGGTCTCCTTCGTAGGTGGCACAGTTCTGGCCACCTGAGTCGTGGCTCTTGTCTCCCAGGGCGTGCGTGCATCAGCAGGAAGCTGGAATTAGAGTTTGAGCTGGCAAGGCAGCCCAGGCATGCCAGGGTGGGATGTGGCCGTCTTGATCAGCAGCTTGGCTGCTGGGCCAAGTGCCTGGCCCAAGCCAACACATCTTGACATTTAAGATAACAGAGATACCCAGCGGCTGGGGCCGGGCACCAGTGCTGGCATCGCCACACAGGACACTGTCAACACGGCATTCGAGCACCTGGGCCTTGCTAACGTGCCTGCAAGGAGGTGCTGGCAATGGCTTGAGCTGTTGAGTCCATGCCACTCACGTGGGAGACCCAAGTTGGTCTCCAGCCTCCTGACATCAGCCTGGCTGCTGTGGGTGCTGGGGGATGAATCAGCAGCACAAGCCAGAGATACAGCTAGGACGAGCCAGGGGTCCTCACGGAGGTTGCATGGAGGAGAAGTGTTCAGCCGCGATGCGTGGGGGGCTGACATCCCGGGGGCCCCACAGTCTGCTCTGGAGAGGTGCTCGATGCCACTTCGTTTGCTGTGCAGGTACATGGCTCCAGAGGTCCTGGATGAAACCATCAACATGAAGCACTTCGACTCCTTCAAGTGTGCCGACATCTACGCCCTGGGCCTGGTGTACTGGGAGATCGCCCGGAGGTGCAACTCCGGAGGTGAGCCTCCACATGCGTGTTTCTGTACACGTCATTGCTGCCCTGCAGTGTGTCCTGAAATACGGTATTGTGATAACTCAACGTTTCTTTTGTTGTTTTAAGATTGCTTTAGCTGCTCAGGGTGCCTTATGTTTTCTTATGAATTTTAGCATCTTTTTTTTTTCCCCCAGTTCTAAGAAGAATATTGTTGGAATTTCGCTGAGCTTGCATTGAACTTGTAAATTTCTTTGGGTGATATGGACATGTTGATGGGTGTGATTCTTCTGATCCCCCATGCATGGAAGATTGTTCCATTTGTTTCTTTTATTCCTCTCTTTGGTGTTTTGTGATTTTCACTGTGGGTTGCTCACATCCTTATTCGAAGGCACCCAGCATCTGTGTGTAGCTGTTGTAGAAGGGGGAGTTTCCTCCCTGTGAATTAGTTTGAATATTTTGAAGAGAAGTGGCATTCAGCGGTGGCTCCAGCTGGTCCTGGGCTCTTCCTTGCTGGAAGGTTCCTTATTACTGAGTCAGCTCTTGCCTAGTCTTTATGACCAGGTTAGTTTATCCATGTGCAGGAATCTGGCTCTTCTTGATTTTTGAAATTTTGGGTTGTTTTGTTTTTTTTTTTTTTCTGGATTCTCTAACTTGTTTGCATACATCTATTTTTAGTAATCACTGATTTTTTTAAAAATTTGCAACAGATGTACCCTCTCGTTTTCATTTCTAATTCTGTGAGTTTTTGTGGTCAGACAGGATACCTGTCTCGATTTCAGTTTCTTGGTCATTTGTTGACTTGCTTATGGCCCGGCCTGGGGTCATTCCCGGAGAATGTCCCACGTGGTCAGGATGAAACACGTGTGTATGCTGTGGAGAGATAAAACATTCTGCATTCATACATAATGTAGATTAGCTCTGTTGTTTCCTGTCTAGATAATCTGTCCCCCATTACTGCTGTGTTTGAACCTGGGGTCTCCCTTTGGCTCCATTAAAAATCGTTTTAAGTGACTGGCACTGTGACTCATCAGGCTAATCCTCCACCTTCAAGCGCCAGCATCGCAAATGAGCACCAATTCATGTCCCGGCTGCTCCATTTCCCATCCGGCTTGCTGCTTGTGGCCCGGGAAAGCAGCAGAGGATGGCCCGAAGCTTTGGGACCCTGCACCCACGTGGGAGCCCTGCAGGAGGCTTCTGGCTCCGCATTGGCTCAGCTCTGGCTGATACGGCCATTTGGGGAGTGAGCCAGTGGATTGAAGATCTTCTTTTCCTTTTCTCTGTAAATCTGCCTTTCCAGGAAGGGGGAAAAAAAGTGAATCTTTAACAAAAATTGTTTTAAGCGATCGCCTGTGACAGTGTTGTCCGTGTAGGCACCGGTTCAAATCCTGGCTGCTCCACTTCTGATCCAGCGCCCTGTGAAGGCTCCGGGAACACAGTGGAGGATAGCCTAGTGTGTGGGCCCTCGCAGCGCGCATGGGAGACCCGGAGGAAGCCCTTGGCTCTGGACTTCGGCCTAGCTGGCCAGGCTGGTACAGCTGTTTGTGGAGTGAACCAGCAGATGGACTCTCTCTTTCCCTTTTTCTTCTCTCTCTCTAGCTCTGCCTTTCCAATAAATAAACTGGAAAGGCAGATTTACAGAGACAAGGAGAGACAGAGAGGAAGATCTTCCCTCTGCTGCTTTACTCCCCAAGTGGCTGCAATGCACAGAGCTGAGCCAATCCAGAGCCAGGAGCCAGGAGGTTCTTCTGGGTCTCCCAGGCCACAAGCAGAGAGCTGGGTGGGAAGTGGAGCAGCGCCCATATGGGATCCCAGTATGTACAAGACGAGGACTTTAGCCATGAGGCTACTGCGCCAGTCCTTCAAGTAAATAAACTACCCCGTTATGTTTGTACCCAGATTTCCGTTTCAAGAGGAAAAGCAGGAGAAGTGCATGGCTGGCTGTTATTTTTCACAATCCTGAGCTCATTTCCTAGCATCCTGCGAAGGTGACAGGTTGCTCTTTTTAGAATCATTGTGAAGTGGTGGGTTTGGAACTATCTGTCACTGTCAGGGTTCTTAGTGTTCCTGCTGCTTCAGGTTCTCAGCTGTCACACAGGGGGTTTGTCTTCCCGCGGCGCCCTTTGATGTGATGCTCTGTCCGCGTCGAGTTCTTGGATTGTGGTTATTCCAGAGGCACACGGCTTCCTTCTCTGACCCCTCCCCAGCTGCCCCCAGGCCCGGGGCTGGAGCCAGGTTCACCCACATGGGTGGCAGGAACCCGCTGCCTCGAGCTGTCACCTTCTGACTCCTGGGGTCAGCACCCAGGCGCTCCCTCCCGTGCCCTGACTGCCAGGCTCACTGCCTGTGTGCCCAGGCGCTCCCTCCCGTGCCCTGACTGCCAGGCTCACCTCCTGCGTGCCCAGGCTCTCCCTCGCATGCCCTGACTGCCAGGCTCACTGCCTGCGTGCCCAGGAAGCCTTGGTACCTTCCTTGCTGTTTTGGCTGGTATCAGAAAGATGTTGTCAGTCTTTTTTCTTTTTATGATTTATTGTATTTATTTGAAAAGCGTAGTCACCAAGGTAGATTTTCATCTGCCGGAGCTCCATCAAGTCTGGAAAGGGGGCACGTAGCACTTGGGCCGTCGTCCGCTGCCTCTCCCAGGTGCATCAACAGGGAGCTGGATTGGAAGTGGCACAGCTGGGGCTTGACTGCGGTCAGGGCCCCCCCATTGCTCAGGGTCCCCCCGGAGCCGGCCCGCTTCCCAGAGAGCCCACGTTCGTGTTGGACAGAGGTGGTTCTCGCGGTGGAGGTGGCTCTTGAGCAGGCCCTGTCCCTGTTGATAACTCAGGCCCAAGTCCGCTCTCCCCCCAGGAGTCCACGAAGAGTATCAGCTGCCCTACTACGACCTGGTGCCCTCGGACCCCTCCATCGAGGAGATGCGGAAGGTCGTCTGCGACCAGAAGCTGCGTCCCAACGTCCCTAACTGGTGGCAGAGTCACGAGGTAAGGAGCCTCCCCTGCCTCCGGCCGCTTCCCCCTGTCGCCCGCTTTCTGTCCCTCAGGAAGATGGTCGCTCCACAGTGGAGCCGGCCTTGGAGACAGTGTCAGTTTATGCCCACGGGTGGCACAACCCCTCGTCTACATGCCCAGAGGCCAGTGCCGTATGTGGTGGCTGAGGGGACACTACCGAGCCAGGCAGAACGTCGGCTCCCTAATGGCAGGATGAAAAATGATCGAAACCCCGTAGGACCTGGACCCCCAAGACTCCTCCCAGGCACATAGAGATGCTCAGAGCTCGGAACTCAAGCACCCGTGTCACGGGCATGTTGGGCAGAGATGCCGTCCCTGGCCTCACACACTCTAGGGACCCTGCAAGGGAATGGTCCCTGCCAGGGCAGTGGTCAGCCACAGGCAGGGCAGGCCTGAAGCTGTTAGAGCTGTCGTCCTGAGCAAGTGGCCAGAACCACACCAGGGAAGAGCAGGAGGAACTAGCGAAGAGGCTGCGGAGAACGTGGAGAGACGGCAGACAGAAGAGGGTGGGGACAGCACTGGTGGGACATCACTGGCACGGGAGCAAGTTGGTGACTCCGCTGTGGGGTTCCAGGCTGTGTCACAGGGTTTCCTGGCCCTGGGCACACAGGCCTCTGTGTGGCTGGCAGCTCTGCCTTTCTCCCAAAGTTAACTGCTATGCAAACTGCACCAGATAATCACTGCAGTGTCCGGCATGCTGACAATGTGAATGATGACCACAGCTGCTCCGCCCCTGGGGAACTCTTTGCCTGTGGTGACAGTGTCCAGCTAAGTATGCAAAGGGAAGTGAGGTTAAGTGTGGCTGCCACGCCGCCATGCTGTTCAAAGCAGTCACCACTAGAGGGCGTGTGCACCTCGGACAAGCTCACTCACTAGCAGGTGCCCTGGTTACATAAGCGAGCGGGCTTATGACAGCAAGCTGTCACCTGCACAGCCTGCCTGACCAGGGGGCGACGGGAGAGCCTGCACAGCAGCTGGGCAACAGGGCCAGGTCTGGCCAGCTCTGGGGACGTGCTGCACTGAGGGCCTGTGTGTCTCCTGCAGGCGCTGCGGGTGATGGGCAAGATGATGCGGGAGTGTTGGTATGCCAACGGTGCAGCCCGCCTCACCGCCCTGCGCATCAAGAAGACCCTGTCTCAGCTCAGCGTACAGGAAGACGTGAAGATCTAGGCGTGCTCCTGTTCCCCATGTAGCCCCCCGGGCAGCGAGAACTACAGCTGCCATGTCGAGCGTCTGACGGAGGCCTACCTCTCGTTTCTGCCCAGCCGCCTGCGGCCGGCCGGCAGCCCTGGCCTGCCTGAGGGACAGAGCCCGGGAGCCCCGCTCACTCCCGTGTCGGCTGCGACATGCAGGACGCCTTTGCTATTTACCTCCTAACGGCGCAGAGACTGAGAGCGGATTGGGTGCAGAACTCAGTGCCACGGCCCAAACCGCTCGGGCCGGCTAGCAACCTCCTCTCCCCGCGCCAAAGCCGGTGCCCCTGGCGGGGTGGCCTGGGAGGGGCCATGGGAGCAGGCTTGGGGCCAGGGACCTAGCCACGGCACCCCAAGGTGGCCTAGAGGAGTGGAAGTGCTGCTCCTCTCGCAGGCAGCTCTGAGCCCAAGCTCTCCTCTCTTACAGGAACTTGGGGGGCAGGGGGCTGCCAGTAGAGGCAGAGCCTGCCGCGTGTCTGTCCAGCCGTGTGTGTGCATGCACCGAGGTGCGTCCTCCGTGGTGCCTGGTCTGTGTCACGCCCTTGTGTGTGCGTGTGTGTGTGTGTGTGCGCCTGTCTGTGTGTAGGTACGCACTTCCCTGCCCCAGCTTCCTGCGCCCGCGCAGGCTGGGCTGCTCTCGTCTGCCGTCTCCGTGTGCCCGGGCCTCCGCTCTGCGCCGAGCAGCGCCTGGCCTCCCCGGCACCCAGCCCTTCCCCGACACCCTCCCCCTCCAAGCCCCCAGAGCCATTCTCTCCCCCGCCCCCACCCACGTCAACACAGCTCCCCTCCTCCATTCCAGACTCCTGAACCAAAGCTGGCCCAGTTGGCAAGAGAGGCTTTGGGTCAGAATGGGAGGGAGCTGGGTGGGCTGGGCAGGGGTGTCTTGGGTTGGGGTATTGTCAGCAGTGGTGCGGGGCCTGAGCTAGCCCAGGGGTCCGTCCTCAGCAGTACCGAGGCCCCGGATCTGGGGGTTCTGATGGGAAAGCCTCACCCATCAGTCCTGGCCTAGGCTCTGCAATTAGCAGTGTGCGGTGGTTGTGGTGGTGGTGGGTGCAGGAAGGGGAGGGTACCGGCGTGGGGAGGGCAGCCTTGGTCTGCGTGGCTCTGTGCTGCGCCATCTGGTGAGGACATGGCCGGCTGAGCCCACACCAACCCAGGGGCCCACAGTAGGGCAGCAGCCTCTGACAAGCAGAGTGTTGAATGGCGTCCGGAAGCGCAGCTGTGGGTGGTAACTCGCTCAGCGCATCTTAGATATAGAATAACTTTGAAGCCATAACTTTTAACTGGAGTGGTTTTGATTATTTTATTTAATTTTATTTTATTGGGAGGGTCTGGATTTTAGCTTTTTTTTTTTTAAATGTTGTTATGTTTTTGTAAAAGGAAAAACCATCTCTGTTTGATGATTACCTCTCGACCTATTTGTTTTGAAAGAAATTCCTTAAAAAACAATCACGGAAAGATATATATATATATATAGTGCAGTCCGCACACATAGCTCAATCACACACTGGAATTGTCTGTCCTCTCACCTGAGCCTGTCCCCCCGCGCAGCAGCGAGAAGACAGTCCTGTGGCCGGGGGGCTCGGCCTGCTCGTGGCCGTGACCGTGGCCAGTTCCACGGGCGCCCAGCTGTGGTGTGCCGGTAGCCAGCCGCTGTGACCCGCAGGCGTCTGCTGAACACGTGTGGCCCGCACGTCTGGCCGGAACGCAGCCACCAGCACCCTGGGCCCAGCCCTGTCCCCAAGGTTCCATGGAAGGACTTGGGTCAAGTCGTGCCACCTGCTTGAGACCAGAAGGTTCCATGGCAGCTTCTAAGAGCCTTTCGAAAGACCACTGAAGTGGGGGTGGGGGTGGGGAGGTCCCCCCAGGTGAGGGCCCCCACCCCCAAGTCCCTGCTCCGCTCTGAGCCCCTTCCTGCCCTAGGGAGGTTCGTTTTTCTGTGTGTAGCCTTAGCGTGTCCCTGCCTCCAGCCCAGCGAGTCTGCCAAAGCCTTCGGAGGAGGGAGAGCCCTCTCCCTGCCCTCGGTTCTGCCCTCCCCCACCCCCGTCTTTGTATTTATTTCCTGATGTATTGCTTTCCTTGCATTAAAGGAGATCTTCCCCCGCCTAACTCTTTGGGCCGATTTACTGGCCATGGACTGACCACCCTGGAGCACCGGGTGGGGAGGGGGCTCCTCATCCACCGCTCCCGCCACCTATCTCCCACTGCCCAGACAGCCCCAGGTGACAGCAAACTCGGACTCCTGACCGTGCCGAGACACAGCCAGCCTCTGGAATCTGCCAACACGCGCCCACCTGTGACTGCAAAGCCGCCGCCGGGCTGCTGCCCAGAGGGGCAGGGCCTGTCCATCCTCACCATGGGCGGCTGGCCCCTCTCCCCACCCACAGGGAGGAAGGCTGGGCAGGCTCTGGGAAGTCCCACCGCTGACCACACCAGGCCCGAGGTGGGCAGGAATAAAAGCCGCGTCTGCACCGAGGTGCACCCCCACCCTGCAGGGGCTGCCTGCCCTGTGGATTCTGGGTTCACAGACCAAGCCGGTTCCGGGGGCACCACCGAGTTCCCCCCCCACCCGCAGCACCCCCTCCCCACCCCCGGACGGCACCCTCGGTACTTCTGTTTGTTTTTGTACATTTTATTAGAAAGGACTGTAAAATAGCCACTTAGACACTTTACCTCTTCAGTATGCAAATGTAAATAAATTGTAATATAGGAAATCTTTTGTTTTAATATAAGAATGAGCCTGTCCGGTTTCTGCTGTACATTATTAAAGGTTTTATTCACAGCTGCTCTGGTCCACCTGTCTCACCGTGCGTGCCTGCGCCAAGCGACCATCCATCCAGCCTGTGGGAGGCCAGGCAGGGTGGGCGGCTGGCGAGCTTCCCCGACTCACTGGCCGGAGTCTGGGCTCTGCGCCACTCGCCACAGCTGTCACCTCTGGCAGAAGTGCCCGTCTGACCATCCTGGACCTGCCTGAGCCTGTGAGGCGAGCAGGGCACGCAGGACACTGGCCTTGTCAGCCTCGGTCTGCGAGCGGCAGGTGTTCATTCTAAGGCACCAGGCGCTCTCCCCACAGCTCGGCCGCCTCCTTCCCCACCCCACGTTGAGCATCACACACTCCGGGGTGCTTCAGTGGCTGCCTAGTGGGAGTCTGGCATCCTGGGTGTGGGTGGGCATGCCCGAAAGCACAGTCCTCGAAAGCACAGGAACCAAACCAGCAGCACCTAGTCAGGACCCCAGCGGTCACCCTGTCCACCACTGACCCCTGCAGGACTAGGCGACCTCTGGGTGGCCCATGCGGCCTTCCCGCAGCTCTTGAGCTGTAGCCCACATAAAGAGGTCTTACAATGCATTGGCAGCGGTGACGTCCACTGACCCTGGTAAGGGAATCTGCATGGACCAGCCCTTCACTCCTCCCAGCAGGCACCCGAGGGCCCTCTCCCTGCGCTGCTGTGCCCCCCACTCAGGCGCTACTCTGCCGGCACACACCTAAACATTTTCCAGAGACTATATCCGTCGGGCTGAGTCACATCCAGGTGTCTTCTGCATCCCAGATTTGGGTAGTCAATCCATCCAATTCCAGCCCAGGCCCTTGCTTTCATCCTAGTTCTTGGTAAAACCTGCCCCCTGCCATCACCTGCCCTGTCCCTGGGTTTATTTTTAGTATTTATTCATCCACTTAGAAAGTGGAAGACAGGGGCCCGGCACAGTAGCCTAGTGGCTAAAGTCCTCACATGCTCCAGGATCCCATATGAGCACTGGTTCGTGTCCCGGCTGCTCCACTTCCCATCCAGCTCCCTGCTTGTGGCCCGGGAAAGCAGTTGAGGATGGCCCAAAGCCTTGGGACCCTGCACCTGTGTGGGAGACCCGGAAGAGGCTCCTGGCTTCGGATTGGCTCAGCTCTGGCCATTGCGGCCACTTGGGAAGTGAATCAACAGACAAAGGATTTTCCTCTCTATCTCTCCTCTATATATATATCTTGATTTTCCAATAAAAATAAACTTTTTTTAAAAAAATTATTGTTTATAGTTGTTACATGGTTGATCAGGGTGGGAAGGATCAAGGTATAGGGAAAATTGCGTGAACTTGCTGTTTCCAAGTTTGCTATTTCTTGTTTCTGGGGGAAGGGGAGAGACAAAGGGGGGACCCAGACCTGCCTTTCCACACGTCCCAGTACCCAGGGATGAGGAACCGCCACTTCATATCAACCCAGGGTCTCCATGTGTACATATTCCGAGCGTTCTGCGCAAGTGGCTTGGATAGTTCTGAAATGCTGTCAGTTTTACCAATTCAAGGATGAAGCCAACCTCCCCATGTCCATTGGCTGACTTAGTAATCCTCAAGTTTCCATGCACTGAGATTTTGTGCTGCCGTTTGACTGGGGTAGCTGACCTGTTCGTTCTGTTCTGCTTCGGCACAAAAGAGCCTCCATACTCTCCTATAGCTGAGACTGGGTCCACTGCTCCGCCTTCTTCACGGAGTACGAACTGTTCTTGCACGCAGGCCAAGAGACCTGGACCAGGCGACCCGAGTCCCACCATATCCCCACACCTGAGGCTCACGCACCCGGCACCCCCCTTGTCAGATACACGGAGAGGAAGATCTTCCATCCACTAATTCACTCCCCAAGGGACCGCAACGGCCGGTGCTTCACTGATCCGAAGCTGAGAGCCAGGAACTTCCTCCGGGTCTCCCACACAGGTGCAAGAACCCAAGGCTTTGGGCCGTCCCTGGCTGCTTTCCCAGGCCACAAGCAAGGAGCTGAATGGGAAGCGGGGCTGCCAGGATTAGAACCGGCACCCGTATATGATCCCGGAACGTGCAAGATAAGGATTTTAGCTGCTACACTATCGAGCCGGGCCCAACAGCCACAATCTTACTGCACAGTCTAGCCTGCTCCCCGTTCTAGCTCCGGCTGGTGGGTGCTGCAGCCTATC